CACTGTATGGCGCAACTGCCAACCGACTGCTGCCTTGAAAATGGCGTCGAATAACGCACGTGCATCAGCGCCGCGATGGCGGCAAAACTCTTTCAAGAGGAGTTTCAGGTCTTTTTTTCGGAGTTCAGTTACTCTTCTTTTCTTTTGACTGTTCTCTCGGTTCTTCGTTAACTCCCTTTGCGGTGAATTACTCTGCATTGCGTACTTCCATGCTTATTCGAACTGTCACAGCAGAGTAACAAAACTCCGACCGGGTTTGTATACTCCGAGCGGTTATGCATGGGGAGTAAATGAAATCCCAATCTCTTTCCTTTACTCCGACAGATAAAGTGAGGTACTTTTATTACTCTTCCTCGCCATGAAATACTCCAAAATGAATGGTATATGAACACCATCAAAAGGAGTTTTCAAAAAAAGGTGTATGTAAATCTCTCGCGGAGTAAATATTTTTTTCCGTGTAGGTGCTCAGTTCCTATAGTCAGTAGTTGTGTATGTTTAGTCGGGTTAGCTTAGATCAGATTGTTAGTTTTTTAATTTGCCAAATGTCCATAAAAATGTGACCTGAGCAATGAGCATACCTGAACCTGACTAACCTGACAGCTGACCTAACCTCAATCATCACACATATTTGCAGCCTACCCAAGACCTGCATGGCAGTAGCACCCAGTTATAGGTAGGTACTCACCCTAACTCAATCTTACCTGCTAACCTTCAACTTGCCAAAAGTTAGCTCACATTGCCAAGCTGTGTCCAGGGAAACAGTCAACTGAGGAACTGGCTCATTGGGTGGCTGGTGTGAGTCTGTGTATTTAAAGTGTTTCTTCTCTGAAGCTGCTCTGCACTGCTGAATGTCATGTTAGATGCTCAGAAAATGTGGGAAATGATTACTAAGCTACTTTAGTGCTTTGTTAATGCTCGAGACATGAACAAGTACAGATCCTGCAGGGTACAGCTATGAGTTAGGTGCTAGGTGAGTATGTTCTGTGAATGTGCTGTTCCCTGTTTGACCGTAAGTAGGTATACAAACAAGCACAGGGTCACAGTTATATTCAATCTCCACATAAACATACAACAAAAACGGTCATATAGGTACCTAGCCTAACTCAAAACACACCACAGATAACTTAAGCCTTTGAAGGCACAAAAATGTTTTGATTAACAGGACAGGTTTACAATATATCCTCTGTCCTTGGGGGATCTTGCTGCCAAGTTGAGGTATGATGACTGAACTTCAGGATTGATCAACCTTTTCTTAGCCACTGCTTATATACGAGAAAGACCAAATGCTTGTTTGTTTTGATTTACAGGACATGTATACAATATATCCTCTGTCCTTGGGGGATCTTGCTGCCAAGTTGAGGTACGATGACTGAACTTCAGGATTGATCAACCTTTTCTTAGCCACTGCTTATAAACGAGAAAGACCAAATGCTTGTTTGTAAACTGCGTTGAAAATTTAATGATCCACCTTCAATTCTGACATGAAGGCACAAATGAAATAGTTTCCTCTCCTTTTGGAATACACAAAGCAAAATATTTAATAAATTTTAGTGGATGGACAAGAGCAATTAGCATAGCTTTCCCTCAAGTTAACTTCTGGCACTGTTGATGAATTACACTGACGCTTATTCGCTTCATATTTTGTAACAAACGCGCTAAAACTGCAATATAACAGCACTATATGCTTCTTGACAAAATGCAATAGTATTAAAAATTTAGCCCTGATGGCATTCATTCTTGGTGGAAACGTAATTACAAAATATTTTGTAGTAACTATTAAATTCCGGCCGAAAACAGTGCACGGTTTAAAAAAGAATCATTCCAATGACGGTCCATTCTTGCGGTCCTGAAATCGCCACTATTTCCGGCCTCTCCAACGCAACTCGTTGTCCAGACGTAAATATGCATTCGGCATACCCTCTGGGGCAACATTTTCGTACATGTCCTGAAAATTTGAAGTCCCAGTCTTTTCAGGTCAGGTCACCAGGTCACAAAAACAGGTACAAGGTCAGGGGAAAATTGGACTAGCTTAGCGGCAACTGAATTCCAGAGCTCACTAAAATTGGTAACAAAGTATATCATCCGATGCGCACGGACGTCCTGAGTTCACTGGTGCTTTTATTTTTGCTCTATCTTTTCTAGGTAAAAAGTAATAAACGAAAAACTTTTAACATGTTTTAGCGAAATTTTTGCACTCATACCCCAAATCCCCCCTAAATATTGACTTCGAGTCACCATACTTTCACAGGGCGAGATCTCCTGTGGACCCACCTACCCTGTAAATTTGGCGTTTCTTAGTGCCATAGGAGCCAATCGCGAGGGAGGGGGGTCGTACCAACGCCGTCCGTGTTATGGAAAAGGCCCTCGCCTGGCGAGGGTTAATAAGCAACCTTTCTCCTTTGATGACCTCTGGTGACCTGACCTTTGACCTGACCTAAAATGACCGGAATGTTTTCTTCATAATTTTTGACATTTCTTCAAATGCCGCTTTCCGCGATTCCCTAGGTGGCCCAGGAGCCGAGTTAAGCGGGGGATGTTCTGACACGGGGGGTGTTCAAACATCCCCCGCCCGCCGAGATGTAACCCGCGCCCCACTGGGGGGGGGGGGCAGAATTTGCCCCCCTCCCCTCCCGTTTTTCGTCAATAACTTCTAAACGCGTTACGCCAGCAACGTCAAACTTTCAGTACCTTATCATACATCAATTGAAGACGTTTCCTGAAAATTTGAGCGAAATCCATCGGAAAAGTTTGAGAAAATGACGTTTTAGTGACGTCATATTCGCCATTTTCGCCTCAAAAACGGCAAAATTTCAAGCGCCGCTAACATCTTAATTTTTAAAGGAATCAAGACGTAGCAAAATAATTATACGAGATTCTACCTTGTCTATCAAATGGCTCTCTCGGTTTTCGAAAATTTTGGATTTTGGCCCGATTTTTTCTTTAAAAAAAAACTGACTTTTGGGAAAATAATTATAAAATCCAAAATTTTGAGTATATAAAAAACGTAATACATGGCAGAGAAGTGGTCTATGTGCACCTACATACCAATTTTTAGAAGAATCGGTTCAAAAATGTGAGAGTTATTCAAAATTTTATGACGTCACGAGACTTTTTTTCGAAAAATGATTTATTGGAATTTCTAGACCTCGTACGGAAACAAAAATAGCACTATTCGATTTGCCGTGAAAAAACTGCATCAGATAGACACCTTTTTAGGCGTTAACAACCAACTTAAAAATTTGACCTCACTTGACCTGACCTTGACCTGACCTCGACCTGATATTCATCCAGAGGTGGTCCTTATCACTTATTGAGTGTGCCCTATTGAATTCTATGAATAAAATGACCCAAAAAACATGTGTCGCACATGCCCTTTCTATATTTTGTTTTTGGTGACCTGACCTGACCTGACCTGACCTTTGTCTTGACCTTTGAATGATATTGTATGCAACGAATATTGTCTTGGTAGCCTAAGAACACGTTTTGGGCAATCAGTCTCAGTCCATTCTTCGGCAACTACGGTGCAAGGCCGATACTGTAGAAACTTGCATTCAGTACCCTTGACCTGACTTTGACCTGACCTCTGACCTACTTAGGCAAAAAAATGGGCTCTTAAGGTCCGCCTTGTTGAGAGCTTTCGATTGCCGTTTTCCCCTTCTTTCTACGACCATCGGTTCGGAAGTTAGACAGGGGGGCAGAATCTGCCCCCCAGCAGGGCGCGTGTGGCTGAATAGCCCAGTGCAGCGGGGCGCGGGTTAACCCTCGCCCGCACATGGGGCGAGCGACCCCCCCAGGTAGTCTTTCTGCTCTGCACTCTATATTTTTAGAGCTAGAAGCCTGATTTTTTGCATAGCTGCTCCTCTATCCTTTCTTGATGTCTACTGAAAATTTCAAGTTTCTGTGGTTTTTGGTTTCGTAGATATGACCTTGTTTTTCAGGTCATGTCATGACCCAAATGACCAATTCTCAGCATCTTGCGTTGGCTATGGGCCTTGTGAGCTTTTGACACCTTGATTTCGGCCTTTTTTGCCAGTCTTACCTCTCACCTATCATGGAATATGTTGTTCGACGATGTACAGATGTCACGGTCAGGGTGAAGGTCAACCTAGGTCATCTAAACTAGTTGACCTAGGTTAGATAGACCAAGTTTTTTGACTGCATTTTGGGTAAAAGCTTCTCCGATCATGATTTCATGTAATATGGGCACATGAACAATCGGTGCACACATCAGTATACACACAGACATACACAGACATACAAACACATATCATTGACCTTGACCTAGCTTGACCTGAAAAGACCTCAGCAGCAAAAACCTGGTCGGGTAGTGTGACAAAGAGGTTTTAGCTGGCTTGGCACCAGAAAACGGCATCGTCATCGGTATATGATAAGCAGCGCACTTTTTTATACATTTATTACATTATCACATAGAACAGATACGAACATAACGATAGTATGTACATGGCACTTGAGGGTTACGATACGGTCTGGGCGCGGCGGTCTCGTGTGGGACCGGCGTCTGGTCCCACACGACCGGCGCCGCACATCCCACACGCCTGTCGCTGTAACTAGCTTCGTTACCACGCAGAAACATTAAGCAGGGGAAACAAAACTCGACCATTTCACGTCCCCGACGCGATCGTTGCTCATGATTCCTGTGAGAGGATTTTAATCATTTTTGAGGTTGGGCAGCGCACTTGATATCCCACGGTGACCCAAAATAGCAACATTTTTTTTAGTTTGACCTGACCTGCAAGGTCAATGACTGACCTGAGAAGGTAAAACTGGGTATCATTGGATTTGTCTCTTCCCAAAGAATCTTTTTGGTCTTTACCGCGAAGCTCTATCTCCAACACGAACGAAATGTCGCGGAGGGGTGGCAACCACCCCCCACCCCCCCCCCCCCCACCCCCCATGTGCGTTCTAGGGTGGGAAAATGGCATGTGCGGGCGAGGGTTAAGGGGCAGTCGTCACCAGCCAGTGTGGCGGCTGTTGCTTACCAGGGTGTGTCACAGGTGTGAGTGAGCGTCATGTAGCGCACGCCCAGCGCATACATGGCTCTCAGCGAGGCCAACGTGGACTGGATGCCGTGTCCGCCCTCCAGGCCGATCAGACTGGCCACTTTCCCTTCCCTGTGGCCCGACAAAATGTCTGAAAACAAGCATAACTAGTTAGAGCTCGTACTTAGCTTTCTTTCAAAAGTTGTTTCTCTCCAAGAAGTGAGTTCAAACCTAAGTGAGTTCACAGTGGCGGCGGATTCGATTTCGACATGGGGGGGGGGGGCAAGATCCCAGACGAGACTATGTCACAGGCAGATCCAGGAAGGCGGTTTTGGACGCTTCGGGGGACATAGCCCCCCAAAAAGCTCCCAAATTCAAAAACTTCTCGGATTTCAATTTCTTATGCACTGCTGAGCAGCTTAAAACAAACTTTTCCCAACAAAACTTTTGATATTTGAAAAAAAACTTGTTTGTAAATTTCGGACGCTTATACTGGGGACTATTTGCTCTAAATGTCCCCCCCCCCTCCCTAGATCTACCAGTGGACGATGTGACAATTTTCGTATCGCTGTACCTATGAAAAATAAGTTCCCATGGGAAAAATTGCGCCACACTCCACAGGCCGACCGCATATCATATAATGAGGAACGGTGCCAAACTTAGAGAAATACGTGAGCGCTATTCTCCGATAAGGTAATTCAGCATTACTATTTCCACCGTTCATTTCAGATTCGATTTCCTTTAAAGGTTCCCTTAAAAGGTATTTCTGAGACAAACATCAAGTGAAGGTAGCACACAGCGGGAGGAGACCGCTTATCAAACATTCAGAGACAGCCGATCGCGGATCGCCAAATAAACCTATTAAAAACGACGCATGAAGAAACCCAGACTCGATGCAGAGTTCAAGAACGTTTTTTTTTTTCTCGAAATCATGTCATCGCGTTATCACCTTCAGGCTTACCGATTCCGCATATAAAGCGCACTTTACATCAAAATTGTTTTAAACACATGTTTCAGGATTACCCTTCCGCTTTGCAAAGCTGATCACCTCTATTATGTTATCGAAACACAAATGATATTTGCCAATATCAGAGCACATCACTGTCACACTTCTTCGAAGCAAGCCTTGTAATCAATACAAGAAACAATACAGGTGTGAAAACACTCAACAGTGCCCACCATGCATGCTTTACACTATTCACGGCCCTCCTGGCCGGAACAGACGATCGGCCCCCGCCCGCGCCGCCTCGTACATCGGTGCGGCTTTCCACGCGAAGCGGCGCCCCCTGACCGCCGACCCGTCCCACGGGCCGCCTACCGGCCGAAACCGCCGCGCTGGCGGCCTGTGAGACAGGCCGGCGGCCCGGCCTCCCAGCATTGCTGGCAGGCCGGGCACGGGTTAGCCCGGATGGGGTAGGGCGGGGGCTTTTTTCCTTTCCCATGAATGCCAAGATGAAATCATCCGGATCATGGCTTCGATGCTGCTCTGTGAGGTGCTAGAGGAGGCCAGAAGATCAATGTTCTATGGCGTGATTGCAGACGGCACGACAGATCTGTCCACCAAAGAACAGTTTAGTATCTGTGTCCGCTACGCCACTGAGGAGTTGCTTGTGAAAGAGGCCTTCCTTGGGCTCTATGAGGTCCCAGGATCCACAGCTGCCGAGCTCTATGAAGCATTGAAGGACGCCCTAGTGCGTACGATGTATGGTACTGACAAGCTAAGAGGCCATTGTTTCGATGGAGCCTCGAACATGTCCGGAAAAATAAGTGGTGTCCAGCAGAGGCTCGTCGAAGACCAGCCTCGTTCAGTGTACGTACACTGTGCGAATCACTCCCTGGATCTTGCCCTTGTGGAAGAGGGGGCATTCCACGATAGATCGTACCAAGCCCGTCACCCTCATCTCTCAGATTTTAATGAAAATCCGTCCTAGGGGTAATCATAGGCCCCAAAGACGCCTGGCAAAATATCAGACTTCTCAGATCAAAACTTTTTGAGTTATATTGCATTACATTTTTTAACTTCGGTTTGTAACGGTGAGTTTGATGGCCTATAACTCAAGAACGGGTTAAGCTACCAACAAACAGTAAACAACACTAAGCTTGCGATGAATCAAAAATTAGTATTACCATTTGAAAATTCCAAAGAAAAATTTTCATTGTTGAGCAAAAACCTTAATCGTTTTTCGTTTGCCTCTAATGACCTTTGGGACCAAAATTTTTCAAATTTTTATTTTTCCAAAATAAACTTCATGTCATTGCAAATCGACATGCAAAAAATTAGAAAGGTGTTCTTTCTATAAAATCCTCATTTTTCCGCAAACAAAATGGGTTTCGGAGGGGTTGATACGACCCCAGTACGCCGTTTCGCTTCTAATAGAGCTAGAGCCTCGCGGAAAAAAACGACCGTGTGTGCCGCAACAAGTCGCAGCGATTGGTACCCGATTTTAAGGTCTCAATTTAACCGGTAGCGTCTGAGGTCAGGTCAAGTGACTGAAGTTACGGGTTCGGTTTTTAGTAAATAACTTCGCAAAAAATGGCCGCAGGGCCCCGATTTTGGCATCATTTTGTTCGCCTAGCTCAGGTGCATCGAATGGTATACTTTTTGCTAGGATGAGGTCAACTTAAGCAGTTGACCTCGGATCAAGGTCAGGTCAGAGCCCCTCAGGTCACGAAGCTGGGCAACCCTTATCATATGGCATATCATTCGATTCGGAAGGTCTTCCCGAGTCCATTGGTGGCTTTCCCAACTCTAGCTCCATTTGATCGGGATTATTGACGAAAAACTCGTACGACCCTAGTGACGTCATAAATGACATCACGCAAGGCTACCAATGCAAACGAAAAGCATTGGACTTTGCAAGAAGTGCATGAAATCACGATACCATGTACGTGGGATAGTTTTAGATCATGCTCGGCGCCAAAATAACAGTTTTTATATTTCCCAATTGACTTATAACAGTGATGTCACGTGACCGACCTGACCTCACGTAACCTTAAAAATTCCCAGATATACAAGTTGTGAGACCTCTGGAGGACACCATGTATGAGTCCTGTAACTTTCATCTCGGACAGCTATGAACGTTGGCGTCCAAAACAATGTCAGAACCAAACAGCCTTTTTCACCCTCGCGCTTATAGGAAAGAGGGTTGGATGAGCCCTCTTTTCACTTTTTTCAGATGACTCAGACTTCAATTGAAATTTCAGTAACCCGTGATGTTACTAGGTACTGTTAACGCCAGACCTCTTGAGACCCTAATTTTTTCGCGATTATTTTTAAATGTATGGAAGAATTACAACCAAGTTCAGGACATGGCCGTTTCAAGACCTGCCGAAACTTTTACAATTTAGATATTTTGTCGCCATTTCAATATTTCAGGCACTTCTCATTGACTCGTAATGTTAAATTTCGAGCAAGATTTTCACCCGGCGTGTAGAGGCTATCACCAGTCAGTCTGTGATACGTTATGACGTCACAGCTAAGCCCCGCCTCTGTGGTCTTGGCCTGCGGCGGTTTCGGGCCGGCGCGCGGTCACTCTCGCTGTGGCGGGGAGCGGGGACGGTCGAGCGGTGCCGAAAGCCGGCGGAGTTGTGCGTAACGTCTTGTCTGACAGTGCCCAAAGAGCGACATGATGACCGAGGAGCCATAAATGCTCAATGCGCATTGCTTGTACAATGCTGATATGTTCGCTGATATTTGTTTTATTTTTTATAAGCTGCAAATGACGGGCAGGTGGCATATAACTGACATAAGGTTAGGAAATATTCACCTGTATTTAAAGCCTACGGCGTTGCAGATAATGCGATAATGGGATGTCGGATGTCATCAAGCAGCTCCTGATTTGTACATCTCTATGCACCCGTCGACCAGCGCAATAATTAGCTAATTGCATTCGCTTCACATCATAAGGCTCGCTCGGACCTATTTCACCAAACAGATATCCTACATCGAAAATCGTATTTGTTAGGAATCGTTAACGTTTTTTCGAAGCATGAATGAGTAGTAGATTGAGGATTGATGGTCCTCTTGGTCCCATATACCTACTACGCATTTCAGACCCTTTGGAACAGTCCTTTTTGGCTCTTTCTCGTTACCTATTCGCTTGATTTCAGCCAAACTTTGACACAATGAGTTTCAAGGGCCTACCTAATTTTTACTAATATGGTCTTTTAACAAAATGTCAAAATGAAGGGCACTTGTCATTGACTTGTAATGGTAAAAATTGATCGGAAAACTTTGCGCCGTGGTAGAGGCTAGCACGGCGTAGCAGCGTCAGCTGTTGCGCCGCAGCTAAGCTCCGCCCACTGCGCCGCGACACCGGGACCGGTCATTCGCCACTCGGGCTAGGAGGAATGCGGAGCTCTGACGGACTGGAACGAGACACACGCTAACGCAGGTATCCTTGCGTGAATATATGTCGTATCTCGCGCGGAGAGGATAAGGATGAAGAATGCAATGCAGATCGGTGTATGTATAAAACGTTAGGCACTCCTTCCAGCTACAGATTGTTATTCCCTACAGACTTCAAATAATTTTATTTTCAATAATTTATAGCGAGCCTCTCCGCAGCCGTCCTCCTACAGGCTATTGTGCATTTAAGGAGAAACGGGACATGATTTAACGGGCTGTCTTTGCATTCAACGGCTTTATTTAATTGAGGATATCCACATATGTACAGTCACCAGCACTTGCTACTAATCACCTCGTTTTTGTTCAGTAGTTTGAAGACCGATCAATTCTCAGTCGCGCAAGATACGTCAAACGATCCGTTTGGTCCTCCGATTTTCGAATATCTAACTTGTTTTTGTATATTCGAAGCATTTTGGGATGGGGAGCAAAAAACCTCTTTTCTGCCCTAAAGTGTGCCCCAAGAAGTCGTAGAACCTAGTCCCGCCTCTGATCCACAGACCACTAGTGCCATCTCTTGTCAGCCGAACAAGCCGCAGAAGTAAATAATGTCACGTGACCTTTGCACACGCTACAATTACTACGCAGCTGTAGTGGGGGAAGCGGGGCGGAGGCGTGGAGAGGGACGCGATCGGTCGGCTGGGGTCAGGTCGCCGAGGTCAGAGGTCATCCGCCGGAGGGTGTTTGAGCGGTTGGGCCGTGTGGGCTGGGGCCTGCGGAGTGGGAGCGCCTGGAACTGTCT